ATACTGGTTTTTACATTCCTCTATGTACATGTACTGTGTAACATTACACTTTGCATAGATGCCCTGAGCTCCCAATGTCAGATGAGGCTTGACTTAGTGTACCTAAGATTACAGATGCCCAAAACCCAACTGATCAATAGAGACAGTTACCATAACACAGTTATAATTTCCAAAATTTGTCGTTTGTGAGAATTAAACCTTAGACCTGCCACTTGAGGGTTGACAACCTATCCACTTCACTAGGTCACCACACCCTTAACATATTTGTTTAATTTTTTAATTTATTAATTTATTTTAATTTATTTTTTTAATTTATTTTTATTTTTAATTTTATTTTTTCATGAATAATGAATGATTTTTCTTTTTCTAATATTAATGTCTAGCAACTTTTTTGATTTATATCATTTTGAATTTCTATTAAATAGCCTTAATAAATTTTTTGCTAATTCTATCAAATAAAAAAAATTGGCTATATTGCACAAAGCTATTAATAAATAAAATAAATAATTTAAAACAATCATAACATTGTGTAATTATTTATTATAGCAAATTTACTTAATTTTGATAATATTTTTAATATCAATGAAGATAAAGAGGTTGACATGAATGTCAGTAAAAATAAGCTTATCAATACACTCGAATTCATTCTAAATATAACAAATAGTGTTGGCCAAATATAGGAAACTGTTGATAATGATCCTGAAAAGACATTAATAACTAAGAAAGCTAAAACCTATTATTTTTTAGTGAATATATATGAAAATTGGATCAAAAACCTTGAAAAAGTGAGTCTCAGTTATTATTAACATAACTATCAGACCAAATTTGGCACAAAACAAAAAATGAATGAATTGAAAGATAGTATTGTCACCATTATAGAGTATATGAAAGTACTGCTAGAAAGACTGCAAATAAAAAACTGTAATTAGTACAAAAAAAAACAAAAAATATGATTGTAAAAGTTAATTTTTGTTTCACTTATTATTAATTCACCAATTATAATTTTAAAGCATTATTATAAACATTATAATTATTTTTCTAATTAGTTGTTAGACTTGTATACTCTGCTTCTTTTTGAAAATATTTGTCAATTTATTCAACAATATGCTTTTGAGAGGCTTGATATTTTTAGTATTCACAAGCTTATATGGTTTCGAGCAATTGAGTTGCAGGATCAGGTTATTATAATTTATTTTTTTTATTTTATTTATTTTTATTTATTTATTTATATAATTTTCTTTTAATTCTTGATTTTTTTTAATTTTATTATAATTTTTTTTTATTTATAATATTTTATTCTATTTT